AACCTCGAGAGTATCCTCCAACACGTCCTCACGCTATGAACGCTCGACCAAGACTGAATCACCTTTCTATCAATAATTTCAGTATTTCTGTACCACTGATCTAACACATGTGCTGTCCACTAAGGACTTAAGAGATGAACCACGGGGCAGAGGGACAAAAGTCCCCTATCTTTTACATATGGGAGGGCAATGGATATATTTGCCGTTTCTCTCCTCCACTTTTTAGACCGAAGAGTAACGAGCACAAGAGCAAGTTGCGATTTAAGAAGCTAACTTTAAACCTTTGTAACTGACATCTCCCTCGCGAGGACGTTATAACGCGTATGACAGGTCCAATGAGAAACCTATTCGATAACATACGATTCCTATAATAATCTTATGGTTTCCCTTTAGGAATGCATACTTCCCTAAGGGAACCCTAGAAGTTCTATAGGAAACCTATAAGATTCCTATATATTTATGTAGGATTCTTATAGGAATCTCATGGACTCCGTTTATGAATGCCAGCGTCCTATAGGAAACCTTTAGGTCATATAGGAAACCAAACGGATTCTTTTTGTTCCTGTCGGATTCCTATACATTCACATCGAATTCCTATATAGGACATTTTCGTAAGGGTGTTCACGTTAGAGGAAGGTCTTGCACTTACGGTTCCATTAAGTACCGGTGAAATTAGGACTTTTTCTCATATAACCATCAGGATATTTAGGCAATGGATGGAGTTCTCAGACACTACCCACGTTCTAAAACTTCTCTTTGGATGAAGTCACTCCACATTGCAAGAAGGTTTTCATGAGGAATATGATGTTATTCGTGGCCGAGGCTCCATGAATCTGTCTCAAATGTGTGGATAAGAAATGATGAAGCGTCCTTCATTATCTATTTCTATGAGACCAGGTGAGAGATAGTGAAGTACTAAACATTCGTGCCAGGGACGATTCGAGGTGAAGATGGAAGGGCTGTTTTGGTTAAAGTGGGAAAATCGAAACCCATGCCTCCATGTAGTGGCCTCCCTCCTTCATCTTATACGCTGTTTCAAAATAAACTGTCCCAAATCAGTTTCACTTTTAATGGCTGTAACTCTTATCAGATAGACGAGATTTTTTAAACAGAGCAATTTGACGGAGAGAATAAGTTATGTGGCAAATTTGAAGAATATTGACTGGCCGCATCACGTTTATACCAGTTCAAACACGATATATGAAAAACTTTGCTGCACAAACGAGCTGTTGCTTTTACCTCGGCCAGTGAAGCCTCAGCCTCCTTGGCCGTTCCGTGTGGGACGTTCATGCACTCGCTTGGGGCAAGGTTGAGGAGGTGACAGCAAGACTGTCAGGGGCATTTTCTTAGCCTTCAGGTCTTCCACGATGTAGCACGTAACACGTCGGGGTCAATATCATTCAAAGTTGACAAAAACCTTATTTCATCTATCCATATGCAGTTTTTGAAATATTGGGCGGATCGGATAAGATTTAATATCGTTTCTAAAAGAAAAAAATACCACTTTAGCCTATTTTTTCTTGAACACCGTGCAGACTGGTTCAAGCCATTTCCAGATGCATACCATCGATATACTCAAGGAAAAAATATATATGATGTTCAACGAATGTCCTTCAAATGCAGGATGTCTTTCGATCAGACGACACCTTAACTGAGTGCACAAAAGATGCTCATCCGCGTAGATTGGGCGTCCAAAAACCTCTCTGAGCACACTTTGAAAGTCTTCAAGAGCGTTCATGTGCTGCTTTGGCACGGTCATACAGGCCCTAGTAGCACATAACATTGAAACAACATTGAATCAACGTTGAATCAATGTTGATTCAATGTTATGTGCTCCTGGGGAGTTACCAGAAAGTTCCCGGACACCTTTTCAAAGTGCAGTTACTTTTTTGGGGGGGTGGGGGGGGGAGACGTTAATATTTTGGCGGAGATCGTTTTTGAAAAATCATTTTATTTTTCTCTGTTGCACGTTTAAGTCAGTTTTTGGATATTATGTCTAAATATTATTTTTAAGGCCATAAATTTAATTTGCTCCACAATTTCCAATGCTGCATGCTGCACAATGTTCATTGATCAGTTCCCAAAATAATTGAGGCAGTGCATCAAACCAACGGGCGGACATTTTGAAAATGTTTGATTATTTTAGTTCAAAAATGTCTGTTCTATCATATTTTCCGGTGAAAATGTTTGCCATCGTTATTTTGAACAAAATATTTGATTTTTAGTGTCCGGGAACTTTCTGGTCAAGCTGTATTACAAAAGCCTACAGGTCCTCAATTGACTTGTGACTATCCTTGGCAGCCGATCGTGCGAATGGAATATTGTGTCAACAAAGACGAAGATAAAGAATTAGTAAATTCCCAGAACAGAAGCGGCAATAATACACTGACCGCGCAGATGTCATTTGTCAACGCTCATTTCACCCATCATTTCACGTGGGACCTCAGCCCGTGAACGGTGCATGGTGCTCTTAAAGCAAAGCGAAAATAAAACCACATTCCACGTGGGTCTGAAATTCGAAAGCAGCATGCTGCGTGGAGCTCACCTTCCAGCCCTAGCGAGAGAGACCAAGAGACCAAGTTGATGCATCTGAGACCAAGTCTCGAATGCATCAACGGCTGGCTAAGTACACCCTCTCATTCGAATGGAGGAAGACAGGGAACATGCAGCAAACAGCACAGTCACGATTCGCAAATAACTTCTTTTTTTTATTACTATAATCTCCCACGTTTTCTACTTGTAATTTTTGACCATTTTGCTCGTTGGCTTCCTTGCGCCATGAATTAGCGCTTTCAAAGGAATGAAGATGATTTCAGCATGGACGAAAGACCACCCCGTGTGGCACAGATACGTCGATTCGACGTGGAACTTAGGTGGAAAGGTAGATGGCAGGGGTATATGCTGTCATGTCTATGAGACCGGCTTTGCGGAAGTTGAACGCTCGGCCATGTGCGCGGAGCCCGTGGCAGCATGACCCTGGCAATCTACCTTTCCACGTAGGTTCCACGTCGAATCGACGTATCTGTGCCACCATGGTGTACTGTGTCCTAAATTGTCTCCATTTCTTTGCATACATCATAGGCATCTCACATTTCCTCAGGGGTAAACCCAATGCTACATACAGTTTACCATAAAGAGATCTCCAATCCATTCAGGGACCGGTTGTATTAAGTGCTGGATTAAGTGCAGCCCAGCATACAGGCTTGTGCAATATCCCAACTGTTTTCTTTTTAGATAGGCCTATTGCTTCTCATGAGACTTCAGGAGCTCTGAGTGTCAAAATAATTAAGTTGGTTGGTGTGTTATTTAAGGACATGTTCAATCATTATGCTGCCTTTAATAGAAAATACATGCTGTATATCTAGAGAAAATTAATAGATTCCGTTTTCCATAAAAGTTTACTGATTTCGTAGTTTTTCATCACACCCAGTTAGTTTCTCTGGTATTAAGTTCAAATGCCCATTTTTAAAAAATATATTTAAGGAAGTAAATATAATGGAGAATTAGAGGCAGTTTAATTGATCAGTTGAGTTAAACATTTTCAGGACTCCACAGGCTGGCATATTTTTATGGTTGCATCATTGTTTGGAAATTTGGAAATTTGGAACCTGTAATCTGTCAACTCTCTTTAGGTGTGAGAAAATGTAACAAAAATCACCAGATTCTAATAGTCTTAAAGTTTCTATGCCCTCTTGTCTTTTAAAGTTAAACTTATCTAATTATTAGTTATGAAATGTGATCATTATTTTTCCATCAGAAGAATATCATCTACATCCACATCAAGCAGCTTCAGAACTGGTAGTGAGTCACCACCTTCCAAGAAAACCAAAAAGAAGTCAGCTGCAAGTTTTCATCTACAAGAAGTTGAACTGAGTCTTGAGAACTCTTGCCCCCTTCCCTTGGGTGTGAATCAGAAGACCAGTGTTCACAGCAATATTGGGTCATTCCCCCCTGGAATTCCATCTACTTCATCCTCATATTCAAGAACCTTGTTGCAAGATGACCATAGTGCTAGGAGTCCTCCAATTTTCAGGGAGTGTGATATTACTCAGAGCATGGATGATTCAGGCAAGTGATGAGACATTCTGGACAAAATTAATTTCAGTTGTGTCATTCAAACACTTCAGGGTTAATATTTAATATATTAAAAAAAAACTAATTGGTGGAGGCCAGGATAGGAAAGCATAGTCACCCACAAAGATCCTGAGCCCTAAGACTGTCTGGCCTACAGGGCACTGGTTGAAGCATGATGAAGTAAATGGATTGGAGTTTTCATTGACCTCAAGAAAGTATTTGACACAGTTTCTCATAACAAGCTTCTAAAAAAGTTCAACCACCTTGGAATCCGAGGTATAGTAATACATTGGTTTCAGAGTTACTTAGATATTAGGTACCAGTATGTCAAGTTTCATGGAATTAGAAGCATTAAAAGATTGGTCAATGTAAGAGTTTGTCATTCATCTAACCTAGGTCCAAATGAGAGATGTATTGAAGGTAACTCATTTCTTTCCATGAAATGGCCTGCAAAGCAGGTGCTTTCTCAATGGACACAGGATTAAGGTGATTATGTCTTCTTGAATGAATGAACCATGAAAGAGGTGCAATGCCTCTTATTTCTATAGGAGGGTACAGAAACATTTGCGAAATGCCAGTTTCATAGCTCAGGTGTTCATCTAGGTTTTGGTTTCATCTTCATTTCCATCATCTTCATCTTGGAAAGCAAAACTTGTCTTCCTAGCTTGCTCTCTGCAACATGGAAAGAGATGACTCTGATTATGAATCCACTCCACAGGAATGAATAGATCAGATCACCTTCCTCACTTAAGAGAATGATTCCCATATGACTTCTACTAAAAAAAGAACAAGGTTTGTTCACCCAAACTTTAAAACTTACTTTATCCACTTTGCAGGTGCATTCCTTAGCCAAGTTTTGATGTCTCCCTGAACTTGTGTTCTGTTGCATCTTTGAAAGCTTGCATGACTGCTTCTGAAAAAACATCAGCAGTTGGAAGTTATAGTTCACAATCTCTTGTTGAAAGAAAATGAAAAGCCATATTTCAGAGACAGAGGAAAGGAAACTCAAGAAAGAGTAACAAACAATGAATGCATGTCAGCCCAATCAAAGGTATAATTAACACCTTTCATCTTCTTCACACTCAGTTGTACATCAGCTAGTGTTGTCCCTTGAACAGGAACTTTTTTTTATTGATATCTTGGACAACATATAGGAGTTTCGTGTCAGGGAAATAGGAGTTATAAAGAAAAGCAAAATCCTAAGGTAGAAAATTTCAGAACTTCCATATCAATCACATCAGTTTTCTCATATGGGGAGCCAAGTCAGGATAAAAATGTCTGAAAAATCATGAAGGAGATGCATACCCTGAAGGTACAAAAGTGAGAAAAGTAATATATTGGTGATAAAACTAAACTTATGACAAAACAGCTCATTTGAAAGAAAGTGCTGAATTCACCTAAAGAAACTTGCTTGGATGCATATTCTTCACTCCATGGACATCTTGATAAACCAGCTGCCTTCTCCACTAGTGATAATGAAATCCCTCCATTCCTCATTCAGAGTTGTCACACCCAATCAGGCATGCTTTGGAGTAGATAAAATACAAATTATTTCATGCAACAGCACTTGCCATACTTGCTGTACTGGTGGTTTTTCACTGCCACAGTAGAAAGGAAAGGGCAATATTGTGAAAAATCAGGAAGCCTCCCTAGGATTGGCCAGAACTCCTTTTGAGAGCTCTTGAATAAAGGTAGACAGATAGAAAGGACAAGAGTATGAGTATCTGGAAGGTAACAGCTGAGGTTTTGTTGAATCCAAGGAAGGATTCCAATATGACAAAGTTTCCCTTCACCTGCCTGGTGGATATTTGCCTTGCGAGGAGTCTTCAACAAAGTTTGTGGACATGCAGGGAGAAGCTTATCCTGGATGTGACTCCTCAAAACTGTCTCAAAAAAAGATGGCTCAAGCTGCTGGACATGAGATATTCCAAGAGTCACTCCAAGATATCAACAGTTCCAACTAAGATACCAACCAACCAACTTCTTCTCTACTTACAAGTATGCACGAAGTGGTCCTCCCTACATCTGTTTGGAGAAGATTGACAGGGATGCTTCACACATGATGAAATGACCAATTACTGTCTTCCTTGAGCCTTGCATTCATATGAATTGAGATATGCTTATTTGGTTCCACCTACACAATACTAGGCATACTGTACTGATATGAAGTGGATGCACAGTTTTACAAGAGTTAAAAAAAAAAACTGTGCCAATTCAATTCAATTTACAAGAATTATAGTAAATTTCATCCAGCTGAATTTACTTTTTGAAAAAGAAATTTGTATGAAGGTTGACCATAAATGGAGTGATGTATTGGTCATTTTGTTAAATGGACTCAATCATCACAAATTAAATCCATAGAAATGGGCTTTAATGATTTGTTTAATAAATGGGAAATAATTTTAAGTCTCATGACTTCCCATGTGGCACAGATACGAGTACGTCGATTCGACGTGGAACTTAGGTGGAAAGGTAGATGGCAGGGGTATATGCTGTCATGTCTATGAGACTGGCATTGCGGAAGTTGAACGCTCGGCCATGTGCGCGGAGCCCCACCGTCGTACTGGGACCGTTAGATGGAAAGCTGCATTCAAGGTGCAGCTTAGCTGCACGGTGTTCCCACATGACACAGGAGTTGACAGAGGTAAAGAAACGTATGTAATATCCGTAGAAAGTGTAAACCTCAGGGCTAAACCCAATGCTACATACAGTTTACCATAAAGAGATCTCCAATCCATTCATGGACCGGTTGTATTAAGTGCTGGATTAAGTGCAGCCCAGCTTACAGGCTTGTGCAATATCCCAACTATTTTCATTTTAGATAGGCCTATTGCTTCTCATGAGACTTCAGGAGCTCTGAGTGTATTCATGGACAGGTTGTATTAAGTGCTGGATTAAGTGCAGCCCAGCTTACAGGCTTGTGCAATATCCCAACTATTTTCATTTTAGATAGGCCTATTGCTTCTCATGAGACTTCAGGAGCTCTGAGTGACATTCTGGACAAAATTAATTTAAGTTGTGTCGAAGTTTGTGAAGTCCCAATTATAAATTATATAATTTTTTTTTGATACACCACCTCCGGTCCTATCCTTTCGTATCAGTGGGTGTTTCTAGGACTCGGGGTTCTGACAGACCGGATGTCCCGTGACCACTCCCACTCCCTTGGTCATTATTTTACAGCTACATCACAAGTACCCTGACAGTGGCCAGTAGGTGTAAAATGGATTGTGAAGTCTTCATTTTATCAGTGAAGAGGTAGCTATATGTAAACTGTCCCCTTTAGAATAATTACAGCATTGACATTGACATCAAACGCTGTATCCTTGAGATGTCTGAGCAAATGGGGAGGAGATGGGTGAGTTTTCAGAGGACTGGTCAGGTGCAGGGTAGTGGACAGAGGATAATTGACATGGAGATGCTTGATACCATTGAAATGATCTTTATCAAAGAACCTGTTTGTCTGAGCAAATGGGGAGGAGATGGGTGAGTTTTCAGAGGACTGGTCAGGTGCAGGGTAGTGGACAGAGGATAATTGACATGGAGATGCTTGATACCATTGAAATGATCTTTATCAAAGAACCTGTTCTTCCTGTGAAAGAAGTCAATACTTATATTTAACAGACTGCCACAGAAGCCTTAAGTTTTGGAAGTGGCAGTAAGAGTAACTGTGTGTAGGAACTTCAGAGATCTCTGAAAGGAATATACCGCATGGGTTTTTCCAGAAGGGCAGGAAAATCATCTAGTCTGTGTTGACAAAACTGGACTAATCTATGACTGTTGAATAAAGGGTCTGTCTATAATGGATACAAAATGCACAAAGAAAGTTAACACACAAAGTAGTGGGAATATTACCATGGTTATGGTGATTTTCCTGGAAGTCAACTTGCTCCATCATACCTTCCAAGAGCAAGGACTTTCTCTGTATCAAGTTTCAGGTCTTCCTTCGAACCTGAAACTTCCTGAACTCTCTGCTCTGATCAGAACTGATCATGAAGCTATTTTCATTTTGGATAATACTAGGGCTCACTTGGAATGCCCAGCCATCATTGGCAATCATTCATTGTAATTCTTGTCA